TTATCGTTTTGATGCAATTCCTGACATATTTTACTGTAATGAAAGAAAAGCAAAATATAACATGACGCATACGAAATATGCACTTCAAGTTGCGCCTAGGATGCAAGTCTTGCACCATTTAAACCCCATATGTATCATATAGTACATTATGTGAGAGCCGCTTATTCGATCACACGCAAATCGAGTACGCCTTTGTATCCTTTTTTATTTTTATTGTTAACGGTGTTAAAATAGATCATGACACGCAGGTCGACTCGTAATATAACATGAAAATTCATATTTGGGTTGATCCATAAAAAAAATAGTATCGTATTCGTGTTGCAAAAAATGACCCGCATAAAATTTGTGTGGTATCTGTAAAGAACATGGGGATACACCACTTCAAAAGCTAGCTTCAATGTGAGACTATATATCTCAACACGCTCCTTCACGCAAGAGCCTTTTAGGCTAGAAGCGTGGAATTGTACAGGCCCAATTTTTTATTGTGCTTTTTATTTTAATTCCACTTGAAAAGTGGGGAGCCGAGAGAATCGAACTCGCAATCTTATGGTCACTACCATAAGATCACGTGTTGACCTATATAATCTCACATTGGTTATATGTGCAACTAATGTGGAGTTTATAAGGTCTTGGGCACTCCCACCATTTGAGTTAGTTTTGGGGTGATGTATCCCAAAAAGTTCTTTACATGGTATCAGAGTCTCGCCGCCGCCCACTTTCTCTTGTGGCGTTTCTTAGCACAGGTAGGCTGGGCCTATTGCATTGTCCACTCTTCAAGCCCAATGTGCAACTAATGTGGCCTTTATAAGGTCTTGGGCACTCTCACCTTTTGAGCTAACTTTTGGGGTGGTGTATCCCAAGATTCTTTAAGCATAAAACTCAAGTTAAGGTGAAGGGACATACCCAAGGCTTCAAAACAGAAACAAAAGCTGCTCTTGGAGCTCACAAACAGTCTTCAAGGCTCTGACTTCACAGAAAAACGAAAATGGCATACAAAGGTTGGTTATTTTCTTCATAAGGTACCTTCTTGGAGCATCAAACACCAAGAATGTGATTCCTAAGGCCTAGTTGCTCGTCTCATGCTTTTCCAGATCTGAATCTACACCCATGTGTACAAGACTTGAAGGAACGAATGTCCACCTTGCATCTTTCTATTTTACCTTTGTGGATTTGCACTACAAGACTTGAATGAACGAGTGTCCGCCTTGCATCTTTCTTTTTTAGCTTTGTCCATTGGCACTTTGTTGCTCAGCTTCTTTCACCCATATAGCCTTCAAATTTGTGTCGCTTGTTAAATCCGTGTCAACCCATATTTTGTTGGGTTTAATATGCTCTTTTCACTTGAGCCCAATAGCTTTAGTGAGAGTGAACCCAAAAACTAATTTCAACCCATGAAACTTAGGGTTAGTCTTGGATTGAGCAGAGTATATAAACTCTTTTTTCTCTCTAGTGCCTCCTAGGGTTACATACATCAGAAACACAAAGAGGCAGACGTTCATCATCTGAACGGTTGCCCTCACGACTCACTGATCCCCTTGAGTTATAGCGTGGAAGATCAACCGTAAAGCGGAATTGCGACCGTTCGTGGTGCGTTGCTACAGATCGTGAGGCTTGAGGAGGAGAAGAAACTGTCACGCTCGCTGCTTCATCTCAGGTAATCAAAGCGGTGTTTTTCATTCCTCATCGCATCGGTACGATGCGCTTCCGCGTTTATGATGATATACCTTCATTTTTAAATTATTATTTATTATTACTATCTTATTTTTTTAAAATTTCAACTCATTTTTTTAAAATTTTTTGGTCAATTACCATTTTAATCCCTATTTTGCTTGTTATTCGAGTCATTTCATGTAATCCGTAAAAGTTTTGTGTCGTATTCGTCTCGAAGATTCGAATAAAATTTCGTGTTATATTTGTGTTGTGTCAACCCGTTTTGAGACTCCAAATTATTTTATAAAAATATTTCAATTTTACATCAATTTGATAAAAAGCATAATAATTTGCATCAAATGAGTCAGTGAGCCAAAATTTAAAATATAAAATGAATTTATCACTTCACCGTAATTTTGTTTGTTTGTTTAATTTTGTGTGGTTTTGACACCGCATGTGCCTTAATTATCGTAAGAGCGGAAGTTGTGCAGCTCTTTAAAAAGATTTGCATGTGCCGTCATTTGTTAGTGGCATAGCAAGTTAATTAGTTAAAGACACATTTATGATTTATTTATTTATCTTAAATAATTAGTCATGTAATTAATTCACCTTCCCTTGCAGTAATTCAACTTGTAATTTTCACTTTCCAAACTAACAACTAATTCTGTTATTAGTATATTAATTTTAAATTTAAAAATCAAGTGTGATCAACCACTGTAGCTAAATTATTAATTCCAAATGAAAGAGTGATAAAAAAGTATAAATTAATATTTGTTAATTGAAAATTTTAAATAATAAATTTTAAGAAATTTATGATTTGTAATAAATAAATACATGTCTCATTACAATTTAAACTACTAAATTTTTAATCAATAATTTTATAATTTTTTATCAAAATATATTCTTCACTCCTATAAAAGTCAGATTAATCATATTGGTACTCAATACCCGTGATAAATGTTTGTCCCTTCTATCATTTGAATTCCATTATAAGAGTAGTCTTTGTTCCCCACAAACAAAAAGTGGACCATATTGTTATCAAAAAAAAAAAAAAAAAAAGTGGACCATATAATTCTAACGAGGACGCGGAATAAAAAGCTTTTGATCCTCCTAAGGCTGAGAAGGAATATTCGCAAGCTAGTTAACATTTTATTAGCATATTCCCATTGTTATGACTTTAAAATCGTGATTGTGGGAATAAATTTTTGGTGTTACTGTTGCATCAAGATTCAGTGTATCCTATTAATGAAAGCATTACATATTATAGGAGAGAGAAAAAATTTAGCAGAGAAAATAAAACTTTAACTAACATATAATATTTTTATTGATGAGATGTACTGAATCTTTGGTACAATAATAGCATAAAGATTTATTCGTCATGTGGCGATATTCACTACTTAATCCAGATATTTTGGCTGAGATCGAGTGATTCTAATTTTACGTATAAAATATTCAGAAACAGCTGAAAGCATCTTTAGGTTTCTTCAAGCAAAAGGCTGGCTCTCTCTGTGTTTTATTTTATTTTATTAACTCGTTGATCTTTAGCGTGGCAGCATTGACAGCCTAACGCATTTTATTCTTTATTCTTATTCCATTTTCATTTTCATTTTTTTTATCACGGTGTTAAAAAGTTTACGTGGTAGTTAAATAATTTGTGATGCGAATATTGTGTTGAATAATGAGATTTGTTAATGAATTAATGAATCTGATAATCATTTCTATGTTTAAATTTAGGATTGGAAAAGTGACTCTTACCAATGAGGAATAATCTTATGTAACAAATGGTGATAAAATTTTATTTGATAAGTCAATTGATCGGGGCACATAATAATTCTAATAATTTCGTTATTTTTTTTTAATATCGATAGACAAATCCCTCCGATTTGCGATTAAAACTTATCACACAAAATCAGAATCAAATTTCAAAATAAACTAAACTAAACAAGGAATAAATTATTAAGATAGAAAAACATCTTGAGAGAAATTGACTAATTAAATAAAAAATAAATCTCTTCAATATAAGTAGAGATTCTAACTGAATACAAATCATAATAATTTCAAAAAAATATCCTAAGATAATGAAAATTTCAAAATTAAAGATGAATATAAAGATAGTTGAATACTTATCAAATAATATTTAAAATGCGAAAATAAGCAAATAATTCCATTTAAATCAACATATTACTAAAAAAATATTACCGCGAAAAACCTGATCATCAATTAATTTTAAAACAAATTTAAAATATCATCTTCCAAGATATTTCACGTCTGTTCCATTTTTTGTCCTCAAATTATTTTCAATTTGTTGGAGTTCAATTTTTACTCACAAGTTAACCTAAATTTGTTTTTGTATTTTAAATCGGATTTTTAAAAATATTGAAAATTTTAAATTAAAAATATGATAAATTTTAAAATTTAAATTAATGGGCGAAGTTTCTTTAACTTAATGGGCAAAATTAATGAGCCAGTTGGAACTTATACCGAACCCATTAATGCCTTATCAATTTAGTTTATCTATGTCAAAGAACATATACCTCGCTCTTTCTTCTTGCTAAAGCAATTCCTAACATTATACTAAAAAAAAATAAAAACTACATGACTCATATACAACAGGAAAAACTACATGACTTTTTATAAGGCAAAATCGGACCTCCCGATTTATCACGCTTTAATCGTAAAATTCGTGACCGGTGGAAGTTGAATAATTAAAATTCAATAATGGAATACATTAGTCGTCCATTGAAAGTTTTTATAATATCGTATCGTGGCAACTTGCAATTCAGCATTATTATTTTATTAGTAGTCCATTATATGGTTGAAAAAAATAAATAAACAATTTTTAAATGAAAGCGATAAGAAAATTAGGTATTAGGAAGGCGACACGAAAGTCCAGTGCAATGAATGGGGGAAGAACCTAAACAAAAGTCATCACTTTCCATCCAACGGGTCATATTCAAAGATAAGTAATCCACGGTCGAGAAAAGGCCACGTTAGTTAGAAGGACACGTGGCGGTGTGTTAGTTGATGCGTCACGTCGGTGGAATAGAATATATAATAGCGAAGATAAGGTTCCGATATCGCGAAGTCAATAAAATCAGCATAAAAACGCAAACCCTAGTTTTTTCCCTCTAGAGACTCATAAACAATTGATAGAGAGAGGTAGAGAGAGAGAGAGAGTGTGTGAGAGAGAAAGAGATTCCTTTTTATCTCTTTCTCGCTCTTTCGTTGTTCCCCACTTTCGTTTCGTGGAAGTTGCGCGGAGCTTGACCCAAAACCCCTTATTCCCCCCCTTTTCCTTTTGCCCACAACCTTGATTTTCTTATCAGGTATCTCCTTTGTTTTCGTCTTCGTCTTCATCGCCTTCTTTTTCTTCGCCAAGATCTGATTTTTTCTGAAATTTTTATTAGCGTGCTTGGCTTTTACGCAGCCTGCAATTCTGGGTATTTATTTCGGTGATGTCTTGCCCTACTACTTACTTTCCGCCTTTTATTTTGCCCCTTTTGTTAATAGGTGTAGATCTGATTCTTCCTGGGTGGTTTTTCTGGGTCTACGTTTTTTGATTCTCAGACCCTTTCGTTCATCTTATTTGCCCTAGTGGACGGGTTTTCTAGGTTCGTGTTTTGTTGTTGTTGTTGGTTTTGCAGTAGAAAGAGGTTCTGTGTGGGGTTTCTGCTTGATATGATGAATATCAACGATACCATGCAGCAGATCGTTTTCCAACTTTTGATTAACTTTGTTGGGTGAATTCTGGCTTTGTTGATCGTTTTTCGGTGGATTTTTTTGTTGGTAATAAGTTTAATATTTTGTTTGGATTTGTGTTCTGGTTGTACTCTGCATGTTTTGAGATAATTTCCAAGTATTATGAAGAAACGATCTGGGAGTTTGTTGTGGTCAGTTAGTTTTCGATCTAATCTAATTTTCAGAGGGAAATTGGTAGATTCACGGGGATGCTTGTTTTGACTTCGATTGTTCAACAATCACCAGTTCAAGCGAGTTTGTGATATTTTAGCTTTATGCTTTGTTTTGCAGGTTTTCGGCTACTTCAATCCTGTCTTTATCCTCGAAGTGAGACTAAGGCTAAAATTGTCTTTACTTGGATGGTCAAAGCTATGTGGAAGATAGATATGTCTACCAATGCTTAATTCAGTGCAGAGTTTTTTAGCCTTACTTCAATAATTTTATTGAGGATTTGCTATTGAATCATAATAACTGAAGTTTGAAAGAAGGATTTTGACTCGTGAGATTTTTAGCGAACTTTGGAATCATGCCTGTTTCAGGACATGAAGAGGTGTTTATTTCCTTTCTGATTTACAGCTAACTACGATTAGAGAACCATGCCAATTTGTTCTTTTTTGGATATTGATTACTTGATCTTCTATTGACAGACTGGGGTAAAACCGTTTGCTGGGCAGTTTAGTCGTTTAATTGCAGGTGTGCCAATCAAGAAAAGAAGGTTCCCTTTGATTCTGCCTTCTTCACCTCCCTCTGAAGAACCATGTTCACTCGCTGAAGAAACCGAGTTACAACGAAAAGAAAATTCAAGCACTTCTCAAGGATCAACCCTATCGAATACTAGTACTGCAGGTGCACCAATCAAGAAAAGAAGGTTCCCCTTACTTCCAGCTTCTTCATCTCCTTTGGAAGAGGCATCACCTCTGGAAGAAAGTGATGCCTTGGAAAAGGAACATTCAAACACATCACAGGGTTCAACTCTTTCCACCAGTTCTTCGGGCTTATCTGATACTAATGGAAATCCTGTATTTGAAGAAAGGAAAGCAAGTTCTGATGCTACGGATGCTAACTTGGTGCAAGGCAACTCTTGCTTCCTTGTGCCCAAACTTGAGGATCCAAGTCTGGGAACTCAATCATGTACTTTGGATGTCATGGATAGCAAAGAGAAGGTGATACTCAATGAAGGTAACGATAACAAATTGGGATCCCAAATGATTAAGGGGAATCCTGAACTCTTGTTGGCTGCAAAGGAAGGTCTTGCACTTAGCATTGGAGCAGATGTGAGCAAACAAAGTGTCCAAGATATAAGAAAACAAGAGAGTCCTGTAGTTCCAGAAAGTGCTAGTTTATTCTTAAGCTTAAAGGAGCCCTTGTTTGCAGCTGTTGCAAGTCCGGAAATTGATTTAAGTCACCCAAAAACAGAGAAAGTGGAACCTGTCTCATTGGAATTATCTTTAAGCAAGGAAGAGTGTAACACTCACAGTTTAAATACTGATGCTAAAACTAGTAGCGTTACAACGCATGTTCATTCTAACAGGGCAAACTGGGATCTGAATACTACAATGGATGCATGGGAAGAACCTGGGACTGCTGCTGGTTCAGTTAAAACTTCTATTGCTGGGCCTAAAATTACTAGTAATTCACGTGATGAAAAGCAGTTCATGTGCTCAACTGGGATGGCGCCATCAACAGGTGTTGTGTCTATAAAGCAAACATGCGAAGAGAGTCAAAAGAAAGCTTTCACTGTTTCGTCTGGACTGTTTGGTCAGCAATATAGAAGTGTTGACCCACAGAATCTCACTCTTGCATCATATCTTCAGAAATATGTTGAGGAGCCTCCTAGATTATCTGATAAGTTACATTCCGGCAGTTCTATTCCCACTACAAGCTTGTCAAGTATAGTAGCTACTGCTGGTGATGTGAACACTTCTAGTTTTAGGTTGGTAAAACCAGAACCATTCGATGAGAACTTGAAAAAGGATTTGAAGAAAGCTAATACCTGTCCTGTGGGTTCAGTAGATAGTGTTGCTGTTAAACAAGAATTGGTTCTGAATTCGAATGTCAACACTTCTAGGTCATCAAATGTTAGCAATCTAAAATTAGCTGATCCTGCGTTCATTAAATCTGAACCAGGTCATGAGGGTAACCAGGAAAGATCCAATACAGCAGAGAATAAAACGGATCAGTTGATTAAAGAGTTGCCACGAGGGTCAGATAATTATTCTTCTGCCACGGCAATGCCGGTTACTTTGGCAACGCAAATTTCTGCAGAGGCAGCTTGCCATCCAGTGAAACCTATGTGTACAGCAGAGTTAACTACCAGTGAAAATATAGTTGAAAATTGTGCTCATACAGAAGGAGTCAATGCTGAGAAAGTATGTCATGAAGATTGTTCAAGTACTGAGCAGGTACCTCTAGAAACTGTTGCTATACCTATGGTTGATAATGGTACTGAATTGAGTGATTCTGTCATGAAAGATTCTTCTATAATAACTGAGGAAGGAAAAGCTGCTGATCAGGAGAGCTGCAGATTGAAACTCATGAATGAGCCTCCATCTGATCCGCGAGACAGTGGCGAAGGCTGTGTAAGTGATGAAGAAAAGATAACCTTATCAGCTGATATGTTGGAGGATGATTCATACGATTCTGATTTCGATTCAGATGACAATCATGCTGTAACTGTTGCTGTGGATACTGAACAATATATTGAAGATGATGATTATGAAGATGGTGAGGTTCGAGAACCACTGGAGCCTTCCACAGCTGATGACATGATATGTGAGGTAAGAGAAGTAGATCATCCGGTCTGTAGTAATTATGAAAATAAACAGATGGAGAAAGGAGTGGTGAATGGTGATTGTTCCACTTCATCTCATGATGTGGAAAATGAAAATAAGACTGTAGTCCCCGCTGAAATAGATAATGGTGAAGATGATATGGACATTGAAATGCACGAGAGGGCTGGTAAGGTCGTTGATAAAAATGTGTGCCTGCAAGAATCATTGGGTGATGAAAAATCTAACATTGCCGCAGATGGGAAGAGACCGGTTAATTATGTCTTGCAAAGGAAACCAGTAGATCTTTCCGAAAGAAAAAATGTCTCTAAAGCGCTGGAGACAGAATCACTCTCCGACCAAGCCACTAATGGAAGCCATGGGGTAGATGTTGTTCAGTGTCCAGATGAAGTTGTCAAAACAACTGACATGGTTAAACAAGCTGACTTAGATTTGCCAAAGATGGAACTATCTGCAAATACTGATGATGCAACCAAAGATTTTAGTAATGGCGGAAATCAAGGGAGAATCATAGATCTGTCCCGAGCTGCCAGTTCTTCATCCCCTAGTAAAACCAGGCCCATTTCAGGCAGGCCGTTGTCCTCACGAGCTGGAAGAGATGTATTGCCGGACACATTTGATGTCGACAAATTACAGAGAGGAAGGTATACTTTTTATTCCTATAATATTTCTCCCTTCTTGATTGAGTGTTTTCTTTTCTTTTCCCCCTAAGTCTCTTTTTCTTCCTGTTTTAATTTTCAGAGATGAAGTTTACATTGATGGTCCTCACAAATTTTCAAGAGAAAGACATCAAGATATGTCTCCTAGAAATTCTAGAATGAATTTTGTGCGAGGTAGAGGAAGAGTTAATAGTCGGTTAGACACACTCCGTGGTGATTGGGAATCTGACCGTGAATTTTCAGGTGAGTTTTATAATGGTCCAAATCAGTTTCGTGGTCCCAGGCCTAAATATCCATCTTCTATTGCTGATACTGATCTGGAGTACAATAATGTTACACTTGATGGCTCATATGTTGGTAATGGTCGGTTAGGCCGAAAGCCCTTGAATGATGGCTCATATATTGCACCAAGGAGACGGTCACCGGGAGGAAGAGATGGCATCCAAATGGGTCATAGAAATCCAAGAACCATTAGTCCAAATAGATGTATTGGAGTTGATGGTCCAGAGTTGGTTGGAATGAGGCACGGTGAGAAATTTATGAGAGGTTTCCGTGAGGATACTCTAGATTCTATGTTTCCACGCCCCCAACCATTTGAGGGACTGGATGGTCGTTTTCCAAGAGGGACTAGGAATTTTTCTTCCATTCAGAGAAGGGGTCTTCCTCGAATTCGATCAAAGTCCCCCATCAGATCCAGGAGTCGCTCACCTGGTCCATGGTCATCCCCAAGGAGAAGATCACCAAGAAGAAGATCACCAGACTGTTTTGGTGGACATCCAGAATTGACACACAGAAGATCACCATTATACAGGGTGGACAGAATGAGATCCCCTGATCGCCCTGTTTTCCCTGGGGAGAGAGTGGTGAGGAGGCATGGCTCCCCTTCATTTATGTCACGACCTTCTAATGATATAAGGGACATTGATTCTGCAAGGGACCATGGCCATCCAAGGTCTGTCATTTCCACTAGGAGCCCATCTGGTCGAATTTTAATCAGAAACAGGAGATTTGATGTTGTAGATCCCCGAGACCGTGCTGATAATGATGATGAATACTTTGGGGGGCCTATGCATTCTGGTAGGTTACTTGAGCTTAGTGGTGAAGGAAATGGTGAGGAGAGGAGAAGGTTTGGTGAGAGACGAGGACCTGTACGTTCTTTCAGGCCTCCTTATAATGCTAATGTTGGTGAGAATTTTCACCTTAATGCAGAAGATGGACCCAGACATTATAGATTCTGTCCTGATGATTCAGATTTTCATGAAAGAGGTAACAACTTGAGGGAAAGGGACATTGACAGACGGATGAAGGGCCGGCCAGGAAATGGTCCACCTAGAAGAACAAGAAATATGGATGAGCAGGAAGAGAATTTCAGACATGGGGGACAGGTTTGGAGTGATGAAAGTTTTGATGACATTTCGCGAGTGAAGAGAAAAAGATTTTGATTTCTCCCCAATCTAATATACAATGATAAAAGTTTCCTGCTGAATGCTGAAGGATGATGGAATTTATGTTTGCAGCTTTTTACCTGAAGAATTAGATTAGATCATATAATAATAGTCATCTTTAAATGGTCTTCCCTTAATGCTTAGCTTTAGCTTAAGCCAATTGAAATGGCGGAAATGAAGTAATGGATGTAAAAGCATGATTGTAGAGGAAGGAATTATGAAATGAAGGTTGCTGAACAAATAAATTTTGTTGGGACTTCAGTAAGGGGGATTGGGTCCGCGCCAAGAAATTTATCATTTGTCTAATAAGTTCAACCGATAAATAAATGAGGGTGTGTTTGAATGAATACAGTGGAGCGATGCTATTGGTTCTCGAGTTTCCTGCTAACAACTGACTATTCAACCAATCGTCATTAATTTGAATATACGGTGTTAATGAGCAAATTGATGCAGACATTAAGGTAAATAATGGAATATTGAATGCAGAAAAATAACATTGGAAGAAGAAAATTCTATCATTTGTATCTTTTCATGGGTTCTTTCGTGGCAATATGATAGGGATTGTTTAATTTGTAACTTAGTGCGGTTTGGTACCAGCTTGACCTAAATCTTATTATTAAGGGGACAAATTGCAAGCTAATTTCATTCTAGCCGATATTTTTGAAACCTGTTGCTGAAGTTCCAGCCTTTTCACCTATTGTTGAAACTTGAAACACGTTAATGCTCTTTCCGTTTTATTAAATTAAATTTAATTCATCTTTATTTTACTCTGTTATTAATTCACTTAATTAAAAGTCACTGGAATTGATTCATCTTTAATTTAATATTATTTATACAAACTTTCATTTTAGAATTAATTTAATGTGATTTGATTTTAATGAATCTAATAATAAAGGATTAGATATTGAGATTTGAGGGAGTATACTTACTATTATTTTTTATTTATTGTTTCTTATCACCAATCTTGTTATCGTTGTTTGTTGATTTGACTTTGATACAATGATAATAAAATTGGTAGTTGATCATTATAAATATCTTTTAGTTGAGATTATGGTCTATCGGTATAGATAAAAATAAATAAAATAGACATAAAAAAAAAATAAACATAATATCTTATTTTTAATAAAAAAAGTCATTTAGTATATAAATATTATTATTTTTTATATAATTCTCCAACGGTTCTCAAATCAAAATTTAGGAGTATACATAAAATACTCATATTATTCCTTGAGATACATAATTAATGTGCCTTTATATATATATGGGTCAGGGTCTTTTTACACTAGTGTAATTTACACTCTTAATTTTATTCGTTGGTCTCACTTATATTTAAGGGCTCTCATTTTTTAGTAATGTCAGTCATTGGATACAAGTGAATCAATGGTTGATTGAGTGTAAGATTTTTAACTCTTACACCGGTGTAAGAATATCTTGCCCTTATATATATATATATACACATACATATACATATATATATATATATACATATATATATATATATATATATATATATATATGTATATGTATGTGTATATATATATATGAGGTAGGATCCTTTGACACTATTGTCAAATTTGAAGTTTGACATCTCATCCGAGAGTCGTTAGATCAAAAAAGATAAATGGTGTAACATGCTTACAGATCAGAGTCGTTGATTTTTTTTGATCTAATGACTCTCAGATGAGGTGTCAAAGTATCCTACCTCTATCTGTTCTCTCTCTATATAGAGAGAGACAAGATCAACTTACTCAAGTGTTACTCTTACACTCAATCTTAATCGTTGATTTTCGTCTATCAAACGACTGTAATTAATTACATTATTCTCATTAATTAATTATTACTTATAAACGTTAGATATGCAAAAATCAATGGTTAAGATTGTAAAAGTTATTTCTGTCATATATATATATATATATATATATATATATATATATATATATGAAAAAGGAGGGCAATGACCCACAAGCAGAAAAAGGCAACTAACTAGTACTATCTTAAACATATTCCCGGGGAGTTTGTATATTACAGATTGGGGAGGTATCTTTTGACTTAAATGTAAGATTTGAAATTTTTTCTTTCCATCTCATAAATCAATCTAACGACTATTATTTATTTAAATTAATAATTATTAATTGATAGAATTCAATAAATAACAACTATTAGATAGACGAAAATCAATGACCAACTGAGATGAGAGTAAGACTTGTAGTCTTATACTAGAATGAAAAAATCCCTCCCCTTACAAATGACGTAAATTTAAGGAAGGTTCTTGGAAAGTAAGATAATTCTTGCTAGCTTTGGTTCATGATTTAGCTTACCAATGTACACAAGTATTCCCCCCGCATTGAATATGATTAGAAATGATATTCCCGTCTTTGTAGAGCAAATATGTAGTGCTCCCGGACCAATGCACCGCCAGAAAGAGAGGGGAGGAGAGAGGAAGAAGGAGGAGAGAGGAAGAAGAAAGAGAGAGGGGGACCATGGAATTAATTTTCGTCTTTGTAAAACTAGTCTCAAATCTCAGCAGTCACATGAAGGTTACTAGGATCTTTAACTTGGTCCTACACTAAAGAGAGTGTGTTAATATAGTCACCTCACAAGTGACGACTTATTAATGATGAGATAAGAGAAAAAAAATATATGATTTTTAAATGAATGGTTGTGGTCAAATAATATGATTACATGATCACTTTTCACATGAGTTGATCCAAATCCAAAAAATTTAGCTTAAAAGCACATATTTCAAGAAAACTCTCTTTATCTCTATCTCTATAGCTTTTCTTTTAAAAAAAAACACACAATTCAAAAAAATTTGGTAAGAGCTTAAAAAAAAGCTCTTAGGAGCTTTTGGCTTTTAGCTTTTTTCTTCGTTTTAAAAAAGAGAGTTTTTCATTATAAGAAATTTTCTAAAAATCTGTTTGACTTAGCTTCTGCTTGTAAGTAGTTTGCAGCTTAAAAAAAAGGATCCAAAAGGCACTAAATACACTTCACACGATTTTCCTTTAAAAATTTTATTTTTAAAATATTTGTCTCTTATTTCTTTTCATATTTGTGTTTATCTAATTAATAGAGATTTTTAAAATACTTTAGAATAATTTCAATTATAAAAGAGTTTACAAATAATGTTTTACTAAATATTTTTTTAATTAAGTTTTAAAATAACTTTTCAAAAAAATTATATAACCACATCCAATTTTTAATTTTATTTAATAAACTTTTATTTTTAACTTCAACTTAAAAATAACTTTTTGCTTTAAAAGAAATGCAATAAAGAAATTCTGAATCATCTGAATTATTTACATCTCTAATGGAGAATGAGGGTTTGGTTGGTGGTCAAGATATGATAGACTATCCATATACTGTTTTCATTCATTATTTGGGAAACTAATAGGTATAATAAACCTATCCTGTTAGCTCATTTTATCTTGTTCATAGCAGGATAAGTTATTCTAATTAAGACTCAAATTATAAATGGACAAGATAGCGAAATTGTTTCAAGATAAATATTGCCTATGCTCTTCTTCTACGAACTTTGTTGGATATGTGAGAGTCCCTTGCCATCGACCATTTGTCATTGCCAATATCGTCGGCAATTAGCCACCTCTATCACCTACTATCATCCATTAACCAACGACCACCATCGCCATCTGCCACCAGCATTGTCACGAGCTACCTTTAGACACCAATCACCCAATCACCACTAATCAGTCCCCATAGTTGCCACTTGTCACCGTTGGCGCTGCCACCACTCCCACCAACCATCTCCACAATTATGACATTAACCATTATTGCCACCGAAACCATTACCATCAAGCACAATTGCCACCAGTCACATCAGCATCACTCCCACTACCACTTCTAGTAACCACCCCTACTTGCCACTAAAACACCAACCACCACCACCATTATTGTTGTCATCGCCACCACCTTGGGTCATCGCTATCCCCTACCACTAGTACCAACCTTCATCGCCATCACTGGCCACCGTCGTTACCATCCTTATTAGTCAGTTATCGCAACTGTCACCGGCCATTGTCGGTGCTGTCAACACCGCCGATTACCACTAACTCCTAGAACTGCCACCACCAGCCATCGTCATTATTCACCGACCATCAATATTTTCAATCAATTTAGTTTTTTTTTTAATTTTTTATAATAATATAATTCTTTTATTTTAAAAAAATTGCAAGTTATACATGTATTTAATATATTTTATTTAAAATTATGACATTTATAAGAATTTAATAATTTAAAATAAGAACTAATGTGTAAATAAGTAAAAATTAAATTTAAAAAATATATAAAATTGTATTAAGAGGCGGTGTTTTTATCTTTTTATATCGGGGTAGTTATATTTATTATCATTTTAGTCTTACTATTCTTATTATCTATTTGGTTGTCGTTGGATAAATTTAAAATCAACAGATGAAAAGAGAAAAATTAACTATCATTAGTTTTAAATTGATGCAACAATAGCCAAATTAACAGTAAGAGTAATAAGATTAAAATAATAATAAGTATAATCTTTTTCTTTATATCATCATTTCATACATTATATGTTTCGTCTCACATTCCCGATAAAATAATATTATTCTATTGAAATACTTATTTAATGCATATCAAAGTTATTAAACCTATATCATTTCCTTTATCATATTCATTCTCATCCTATTATATCCATCAAAAGGAGGCCTTAATATAATTTTATGAATTCAGAATAAACAAATTAAGACTCAAATAGTAACATAAATGGAGTTTATTTAATATCATCTGGTCAAATCAAGGCATTGACGCATTGTAATGTGTATATATTGTCGGTTTAATTTTTTTTAATCCAGGTGTCGTTTAATGATTGGCTACGAAGCAGGGGGCTTGGCATAACACTAAGATGAAGAACAAGCTAGGTTGATCGAATGGGTTTGGGAATGACGAGAGTTAGTGTTGCGCGATTGGCAAGACGTCTACGCATTCCATTCCAAGGAGCCAAGGCGCGTAATGGCGGCGCGTTAATTCCTGTCCGCGTGGGCGCAACGGCGTCGTTTCTCCATCGCAACCACAGTGCTTTCTCTTCCTCCGCCTTTTCATTTCAATGGACAGGAACAGGAATAGGAATAGGAATAGGGATAGGGATAGGGCAAAGGAGGAGTATGTTTATCCAAACGCAGTCAACACCGAATCCTTCGTCTCTGATGTTTTATCCTGGGAAGCCTGTTATGGAAGTTGGAAGCGCCGATTTCCCCAATCCTCGTTCTGCGATGAATTCTCCACTCGCTAAATCACTCTTTGCAATTGATGGTTTGCATCTTTCAATTCATTTTGTATTCTTACTTGTTTTTCGGATTTTTTTATTTATTCTTAATTTAGATCTAATTGTTCTGCTCAGGAGTTACTCGTGTTTTCTTTGGATCCGATTTCGTCACTGTTACAAAATCTGAAGATTCTGCTTGGGAATTCCTCAAACCTGAAATCTTTGCAGCGATTATGGACTTCTACTCTTCCGGTCAGCCACTCTTTTTAGACTCTCAAGCTGCATCTGCAATGGATACTGCAATTCACCAAGTAACTCGGTTCTTATGTCATGCTTTTCTCTTTTTTAATATTCGCATTTTTATTATATGTTTTCTCTTTGTTTCAAGCTACAAGATTAATTCAAGTTAACTTGGTTTTATGCTTCTAGTCTTGCCTTTTATCTCAAATGTTAACTATGCATACCTAGGCTAGGGGATAAAAAAAAAAAATATAGTAGAATTCTTCCAACTCGTTTATAAGCCTTTTATCTCTGTTTTGCTTTTGTTATTTAATAGGTGTTTTGTTTCAATCTGATTTTATTGTCCATTAGATGGGAATAATTTCTCAAATATGGAGTTGGTATGAACGGACCTTGAGCATTCCCTTGTGTCTCCTAAATTCATTCTGTTAGATTTCTCCTAAACATTTTTTTAGACTTGTAATGATCCATGTCCCCGGGAGTATGAGATTTGTCTTAATCATGGAGTACATAAGAATTTCCCCTCCACTGCATTTGAGAGGCCCAAACTAAATGGTAAGTGTACGTGCTTCCATGCAGGATGATTCCGAAACAGTTGCGATGATCAAGGAATTGTTAGAGACTCGTATTAGACCAGCTGTGCAAGATGATGGTGGGGATATTGAATATCGAGGTTTTGACCCGTAAGTTCTTTTTAGTTTTTTGTTATTTTGGTTTTGAACCACTTCCATGAAACCTTAAGAAATAGTATATATAAACATTATAGAATGACTTTTTTTTTGAGTTGCTTTTTATGTTGTGGTTTTCTCCAGGGATTCTGGAATAGTGAAACTTAAAATGCAAGGAGCATGTAGTGGCTGCCCAAGTTCATCGGTGACTCTGAAATCAGGCATCGAAAATATGCTGATGCATTATGTACCTGAGGTAACAAGTTTGGCAATATCTTTTTGTGATGAAATCAATGCGTTGTTTTTTTTACCATAATATGGTAAAAGAGTTGATTGAAATCTTGAACATTATCTTACTTCAGCCTTGGAAGTGAGCCTTTTCTACGCATATTCTTAAATTAATCTTGAGTGCATAATACAGTTATACAGGGATAATGCTAGGGTACCAATTAACTGTGCAAGATTTGCTAGTTGTACACCATTGAATTACTTAAATGTGGTTGTTTACATGATTACATCTAACCTGTGGTATTTGGACTATAAATACCTATTACAGGGATCATGCATATCAAGGTTTTCACCGACAGTGTGTCATTGAATTTAGTATCTTTTAGCTTCTATGTATTAATTATTGAATGTTTATTCAAAGCAGCGTTAATTGAATGGATTCCAATTAATATTAGGAGAAGGATATTGTAACAACCAAGTTACCATGTTACTACCAATCCATCTCACCGTTAGATTGATTATGTTGATCCAACGGTTATATTTATTTTCATCTTTGTATGGTTATGATTCCCCATATTTAAAGTGAAAGCATTAAATATGGAAAATCATAACCATACAAAGGTGAAAATAAATATAAAGTATTAAATTTGGAAAATCATGATCATACAAAGATGTAAATAAATATAACCGTTCGATCAACATAATCGATCTAACGGTGAGATTGATTGATAGTAACTTGGTAGTAACACAATTTGGTTGTTACAATATTCTTCCCCTTAATATTAATAATTTATTTATATTATATTTGATAAACATTTTTTTTAATGCTGCTTGCTGCATTTACAGGTCAAAGGCGTGGAACAAGAATTGGATGCCGAGGACGAGGAAGCATCATTAAGTGGGCAAGTGGAGTAGTTAAACTCCTTTTTATTTATTTATTGCAGCCGGCATTTAGTCTCATAGATTTCACATCCAATAGAGACCTCGAAGTACAACAGCAGTAAATGAGGGAATCAAAGGTGTGAGTGTAAACAAAAAATATATGAAATAAGTTGTAAGCTGTGAGCTGGATATACTGTAGTATGGCATGAAATAATCGTTCCAAGCTAGTTGGATCTCACTGACATAGTATGTAGGTAGTTTAAACACCATGCCATTGACAGAAAGACTGTACCCTCTATTCGGGGTGCTTAACTATGATTCTTGCTCTTTCCTTTAAATTCAGGTTTTTGGAAATATACAAGGCATTTTTTGCCTATTGCCTTCTGACACACTTGTATTGATATCGTCATTTGGTAATTTGTTTGTGATTCCATCCTTTTAGTGTTCAAATCGATGTATGCACTTCTTAAGGAGAACAGTGAAAAGGCACGGATCATTGTTGTTTTATCGCCTATATTTGTATTCTAGCATTGGTCCTCGTCTACTCTAAAGCTACATAAGATGGTTGTATTAAACTATTAATTGCATAATTTTCAGTAAATCTTGACAGCTTTTCATTATTAATAATGCTTGCATCCTACATTTTCTATTCCTCTTTTACATGACATATTCAGGTATTTAATTTCATTTTAGTGAACTATTTTTTGTATTAAATCAATGTGCAAAACTGAGTGGTAGTAGTAGTAGTTGTTGTTTAGTAGTTGTTTTGGGGATATAACAATTTATAAGGATTTAAGGGAGATACATCAAGTCTTAGCCCGTGCAAATGGTTGTACAATTTTTTATCGACCACAAACTTGCAAAGCAATCAGCGAAAATTTAATAAGAAATGATGTAGATCGTATCCTAAAGTTTTTCTTATAAATATTTTAAAAATATTAGTGTTAGTGTGTTAGAAATAGTCGATTAATCGATATTAAACTTGATTCAGATTAGTTAAGTAATTGATGAAATGATGAATAATATACAAGAAATAGAGAAATAAATAGGGTGCATTAGTTGTAGGACTTATGAATTACCTTGGAATAAAAGCCATTATTGTTGCTAAATCCTGGGCTCTTGCAGGTGGTTTAATTGTGCCACTCATTATTGATGGATAATATAGATAGGTAGTGAGTAACTGTATGAACATTTTCCAACAACTAGATCAAGTATAACTTATATATAATTAGAGAATCCAATTTTGTAGCTGATCGTCTTACAAAAATTAGCAGTTGATTCCCACTCATGGTCACCTAACCATGTTTCTTCGTATCTGAATCAATTTCGAATTGGTAAGCTCTTAGGCTTTAATCCTGTAAGCTTTGTGTAGCAGTAGGAGAATTTGGTTTTTGGTAGTTAAGGGTGCGCATAACAACCTTCCCGAAATCAATTTTTTTTAATTTCTGTTCTCGGGAACATAAATGGATAGAAAACTCGTTTGATAAAACTAATTTATATTTTTGTTCCCGGATGAACCGGTTTAATTTTTGTTCTGGGAACAAAAAAAAGAATAAAAAAATCTCTGCTTTTTTGTTCCCGGGCACAAAATGAGAAACATTTATCTCTCTCAATCACTATCCATCTCTACTATCACCACCACCACCACCACCATCCTGACACGACCACTGCCACCATTGTCGCCGTCGCCGTCGCCGTCATACCACTAGTGCTGTCGCCACCACCCCCCACCACCATTATGCCACCACCACTATCACCGTCACCACCACTACTGCCATCAACCACCATCGCCATCATCGCAATCACTGCTGTCACCACCACTGCCATCGCCGCCATCACCATGCCACTGCCACCGCTATCATCACCACCACTGTCACCAACCACCACTACCATTGCCTCAACCACTACCGTCACCACCGCCGCCGCCAACCACCACCACTATCACCGTCACCACCATTACTGCCATCAACCACCGTCGCCATCATCGCAACCACTGCCGTCACCACCACCGCCATCGCCGCCATCACCATGCCACTGCCACCGCTACCATCACCACCATTGTCACCAACCACCACTACCATTGCCTCAACCACTACCGTCACCACCGCCGCCAACCACCACCACCATCGTCACAGCCACTACCGTCACTACCGCCGCCAACCACCACCACCATCGTCACAGTCACTACCGTCACCACCACCACCTTCACCCATCACTACCACCATGCCACCATTACCACCACCACAACTACCACCGTCGCCACCACCACCACCATTATCACTGTCGCCGTCACCACCATTACCGCCATCAACCACCATCGCCGCATGCCACTGCCACCACTACCATCACCATCATTGTCACCAACCACCACTACCATTGCCGTAACCACTACCGTCATCACCACCACCTTCACCCATCACTACCACCATGCCACTACCACCGCTACCATCACCATCATTGTCACCAACCACCACTACCATTGCTGCAACCACCACCTTCACCCATCACTACCACCATGCCACCACCACAACTACCACCGCCGCCACCACCATCACCACTATCATTGTCGCCGTTACCACCACTACCATCATCGTCATCATCGCAACCACTGCCGTCTCCATTGCCACTACCACCATGCCACTGCCATCACTACCACCACAACGACGCCATCGCTACCATCACCACCATTGTCACCAACCATTACTACCATTGCCGCAACCACTACCGTCACCACCACCACCATCGATGCAGCTACTGTCGTCACAATCACCACCACCACCACTATCATCACCACGTCACTGTCACCATTACTACTGTATCGCTGCTGCCCCCGCCACCACCATGCCACTCCCCGCCGCCGCCACCACCACAACCACACCATATGGAAAGGAAAGTGATGATCCGAATTTTTTTTATATTTAATAGGAATTATTTTTTATTATATTATTTGTTACGTTATCAATCACAATTCTTATTCTCGGAATAAAAATAGAACATATTATCAAACACATTTTTTTTCTCAAAAAACTATTCCAAGGCACAGAAACAGAAAATAATTGTTTCTTTTCAGAAACAGTGCTAGGGAATAGAATGGTTGTCATGCACACCCTAAGTGCCGACCGCTTAAGAACATGTTTTTGCCCTGCTTTGGATGATTTTTTTTTTCAAATACTTTTTATTTCGTGTGAGTATTTTGATGCAATCTTTGCAAAAAGAAAAAAGAATAAAAATTATGTTTTTTTTTTTATAAAAATCAAGATTTCTGACTTTTGAAAAAAATGGAAATACTTTTTTCACTTGAAAGTATTTTTTAAATATTGATCCAAATATAAAATAACTCTAACTTTTAATAAAAATTCTGAAAAATAATGTACAATTTTATTTTATTTTTTCAAATGGCCCTTTTTTCGAGTATCATACGACAAGAGAGAAAAGGGGAAAATCCCTTAATCTCCTATTTTCACTGCGGAATTTTTTTATATACATCTAATGTACTCACTCAGGTACATTTTTTTACCAAAAGGAAATTTTCTTTTCCATTTCTATCCTTACTTTTTTTCATATCCCAAAATTTTATCTCTTTGATGTACATACATCCGCTACATACAAGGTTTTTTCCTTCGCTGCCACATAACTTAACAATATCATAATGTAATAATGTTTGGGCAATTATTTTTTCCTCCTGCGTAGCATGTTGTTTTGGTTTCTCAAATAAGAAAGCAAGTATGCCACTTTGTTAATTTGTTTAATTCATAAAAAGAAAAATTGGATTCGAACCTAGATATGTCCTAGTAACAATATAGTTTACTTTCAGGATCTGAAGCAAAGTTGTTAACAAGACACGATAATACACGAGTCATCTAACAAGAATTAACGATGGGTATAAACAATGAAGGAGAGAGTACAAGAGACTTTCTAATGCAATCTTACAAAAGAATATAAAGAAGAAAGGGCTATTAACAACCTGTTCCAAAATAAACAACATTGAGTAATGTTGCTTAGGAAGATTTTGCAGTTGGGCTAGTCTATAATACATAGAAAGGATTCGTGCATGTGTACTGTTTTGTATCTTCATGCCCTAATTTCTTAAAAGGAAAAAAAAAGATTAGTTTATGTTTCAATGATATAATTGCAGTTGAGTACAACTTTTAGTATATGACACATTAACATTATCCATTTTCATAGGAAACTTAAAAAAAATGTGATAAAATACTTTGAATAACTATGTAGAAACTATTAAAATTAATTTTGACGATCATTAATAAACTATTAACAATAAAAGTTGTTGGGTGGAAGATGCAACAATTGTAAACACAACATAACAAAATATTATAATCCAAATTTAACAAGAAAATCCACGCGTGGCCTATTATTGAATGATGATTTATCAAAGCTTCAAGGACATACTTGTGTTGGTTAATGATCAGACCAATACAATATGGATTGACCTATAAGTATCAGATCTAATCACACACAGTTGATGTGAGAAGACTTTGGGTTGAGCTATCTAATTTTTGGGCTGTTGATAGTTGTTGATGATACGATGGGTATTGTTATGGACCTGACGAAGGCCCGTATTCTAGAAGGACCAATAAAGGACAGCACAAAAGGAAGGGAATCTCCTATTAATGACAATCCTATCCAGACAGCTAAGCAGTTGGACTTGGGCCCCCAATATTCTTAAGAGGCCCAGAATTACACTCATTCAGGTAATCCATCTATAAATACAGGGTTAAACCAATAAGGTACACACACTCTCTAAACCCTCTCTCTTAGCTTGTCACTGTGCACACACCCCACGCCTTGACTATGTCGATTATTATTGTGCACAGTGATCAGCCTACCCTCAAGGGTATCTCATTCATAGATACTTGAGATATGACACCTAGATCCTACATAAAATATACCAGCCACCGGTTGGACATCTCTGTCTTTCATACAGAACATTGGCGCCGTCTGTGGGAACCGTAAACTTCGATTCCCACCCAATAATGGTGAAAGCGCAACAGCCGCCGCCACATCCAAATCCTAATACGATGAGTGCAAAGTACAAAAATAAGACTCATCAACTGTTCGCGGCCGATCACAGTTCGTAATTGTTTCAACAAACATGATGAAGCCGGGGTGGTGTTGAGATCGGAATTATGACCACTACCGTTGTCGAGATCATGGTCGAGATCGAGATCAAGACTGAGAACATAGCCGAGATCGGGGCTAATGAAGCAAATAACAAAAGCTAAGTCTCCTTCCTATTAAAATTCTAAATTTACGTGAAAGACGAAAAAAAGATCCATCTTTTTAATCTTATTTGATAAAATGATCCACCTTTTAATATTTTACCTGGATATTGGAAGAAAAGGATCATTCTTTTTAATATTATTTGAGAAAATGATCCACCTTTTTAATAGTTTTATATCAATATTTGAGAAAAGAATCCATCTTTTTGAATAATTGATGAAACATGCAAACATTCGTACTCAAAAATTTGTTTAAAGTATGTATAATTCATCTTT